TACGGAGGTGACGTACTGCTGGTTCTGGTGCTGCATTTGCCGGCAGTATCTGTAGCAAGTATTGATGTCAGCTTACTATCGTGAATAAAAGAACAAGGCGTTGAGAACACACTCTTCTCCGATCCCTCCCTGACGCATCCACCCAAATGTCCTAACCACCACGGCCACCACTCTCATGAAAGCTCTCCACGGCTCCCACTGTCTTGGCGAATTCGCCGACCTAAGCGATAGGGGCTCGATTCGAAATGGTTGGGCATAGCTGTATTGAGGATTGTGATGCGAAATGGGGAGTCAGGAGGCAAAATATGGACGAGTTGGAAGAAGAAGAAAAGAAAGAAAGGCCAAATCACAAACTTCTGGTGCACGCTTGGCAGGCAACTGGCGCGTCACTCCAACTGCCTACATGTACCTACGCGTGGTAACGTGACTTGGCGATATCACCTTCTCTTGGCTCCATCCGATATTTAATGCCCAGTTCCCATCATTTGGCCGTCAGCTGGCAACAATCCGGTGGGGAATGTGGACTGTTATCCATCGCCGTGAGTTTCTCCAGTAGTTTCAGACTTCAATTTCTACATTTCAATAAAAAGTAAGAAATTCTGCTGGCCCATGTCTGGTGGAGAGCAGCGTGGCGGCGGCGGTGGTAGAGGAGGGAGTAGCGGTATGTCTAATATCCGCTTCCATTCACAATTACATCTAAATACTAACAGCATAAGCAGGCCGGTTAGGTAGTTATAGAGGAGAGGGAGAAGGGAGGAGGAAGAGTATATTCTTACTTAATTATTCTTTTATAATTAACCTTAGGCTAATATAAGTAATATAGAGTAGTATAGTATTAATAGTATAATATTTATTTATTTAAGGGTATTTAATTTTATTACTTATAATATTATAGTAAGAAAAATTATAGTTTTTAAAAAAAAGAGTTTAAGAAAAACCTTTTTTAAAAAGTAAAAGTAAATATTAACTAAGTTTAGCTTTTTAGCTTATATTTTTTATTCTATAGCCCCTGAAAACTAATTATAGAAGCAGAAGCAGTAAGCAAAAACTCTAGGCGACGCCATAGCCTAAGCCTTAGTTAAGGCCGAGGCCAAGGCTGGGGCTAAAGCTATGGCACAGGCATAAGAACGAGAATAGGAATAGTCTTAAGAGTAGACTTACCAGCAGAGGGCTAAGGAGGGAGAAGAAAGGAAGGATATTAATAAGCAGGATGTATTTATAAAGCGGGAAGAGAAGCTGTTCGGTTGGTGGCTCTAGATAAATCCAAGGGGGCTAAATATATACCGGTTGGCTGAGTACTTACTATTAATATATGTATATAATCACCAGTTGGCCCTAGATCTGACTTTGAGTTTACTTTTGCTTTATTAAAACTCGCCTTGTATCTTTGCATCTTCCACCTTTTTACCTTTCAGAGTCTTATCACTGTATCAAAGAGATCTCTGCAGAGATTTCATCACTGGTATTTCTTCCCTTGTTCCCTGTTCTGCCTTATCTTCACTCTTTTCCCCAAATCCGATCAAACACACCTTTATTTCCCATCTACTGACAATAGGTACTACTCGTCATTCGACCTCTGTCTCTCGACAGACGCAATCCACGAGACACTCTCCATTCTCCAGCCCTGCTTCTTTTCAACAAGACCCGGCTTCCTCAATGAGCACCGAACAGTGAAGGTACCCCCCGTGGCCCCCATGACACTCTGTTGTTGATTGCTGATGTGAAGCCTCTATCTAGACATCCCCTCTCGACCCATCCCCTCATCACGATGTTGCACCAAGACTGCTCAGCGCGCGTTTGGGCTCCCCTGAGAAGAATCCTGTGCCGACCTTGGCCTCGCAGAGTATCCTCAACATTCCTGTGCAGATGTTTTTCCCGTCTACAAAGGCGATGAGGAGATGTCTTTTGAGACATCCACTAACGGGACACTTGTTTTAGTAACATTCAGCCACATAGATTTGATAATTTTACGATTGTTCTTTTTGTTGTTGACCCAAATCTCCTACGTGAAAGTTTCTGGCTAACACAATGTAATCGAGAACCGTCATGTCGAACGTACGTTTCCCACCTTCGCCACCATACGTTCGCCTTCTGGTTACCAGCTAGGGCCAGTTCACGACCATTGCCACTAACATACAAGTAGAACCGCCGAATGACCGCTTTCGCCCGGCTCCTGGAGACGCTCGGGGCCGGCGAGAACGTGGGTGATGGTGGCGGGAGAGCGTGTGCTTGTGTTTCTGCTACCACCCGGGCCTGTGCCAGTGCCAGAGCATGAGCGTCGGCTTGTGCTTGGACAACTGCTTGAGCCTGTGCTTGAGCCCGGGCTTGTTGCCGTTGCTGCTGCTGCTGCTGACGGAGCTCATGCTCCCGCGGATCTGCCTCTAAAGCCGCTCTACCTCCACTGAGGAGGATATCATACTGGTGGCGCGATTACGCGCCGTCCTCGGCTCGGCCCGAGATGCCTCTGACGTACATGGGCCTACGGCCCCTGCCACGGCCACCTCGGTGGCTTTGTACTACACATGGAAGTATTGTTAGTTTGTTGTAGTGAACGGCGAAAAACGACTGAAACAACATGAAAGTATTCATACCACCTCCTCTGGCTCTTACTCGACCTCGGCCTTGGCCACGAGCTGTTCCACTGTCCCGGAGGGTCAAACAGGCATTGCTCACTTCCGTCGTTGGTCCATCCGAATTCCAGGTTATAATGGTCTTGAAAGAGACGGCGCCCTTTTTCTCCGCGAGGCTAAACGCCTCTTATCGACTGGCCTCGGGCACCTTCAGCAGAAACAGCGCCAGGCGAATGCTTTAGAGCTAGCTCAAGCTCAAATTGAAGCCGAGGCTGAGACCCAGATTCTGTGGCGTCACCATCACCCCCAACAGTCCACGTATGTTCACTGCCACTTCTTCAGAGCAGATGTCATTCACGCAGGGTCTGGTTCGGGAGGAATGGGCCGAGGATGTTTCTTCATCGCCCTTACATGCCCACTACTTTGGCTTTGGAAGAATTCAGGCGCTAAAATGGTCTGCGGGCTTGCATCTACAATTCATCTCCAGAACACAACATCTCATTCGAGCGCCCTAGAAGTCCCATTTTCCTTTATTAAACTAAAAAAAAGCATTCACGTAACTCTATCGAACGAAACTCACAAATTCTCATGCCAAAAAAACATGGGGCAAAATAGAAAAAAAAAAATTGGCAGAACAGCCAGCTTTCGAACCCCCGCGCTGCGCAGCGTCTTTTAGCCGCCTCATTTGCCGTACAGCGTCCTGCAGAGGGCAAGCCTGGCCCATGGCTCTTCGAGTTAACCACTCGGGTAAACTGGGTCGTTGGCCGACTGTTGTACCAGATGTTGAGAGAGGAATAGGTTTTCTTTACTTATCAAGGGCATTGTCTACACATGTACCTACCTGTAGGCTGAGTACGATAGAACGACAGAAACTTGAGGCTTTGACCAGGAGACGGCGTTGTTTTTATACCCCAGCAGTCTACGGGGCATCTTACAGGTATGCGACCCCACTGAAGAGGATCCGCCGGCTAAGCGTCAGCGACCCACGCACACGTACCTTGCACAAAGCCGTGGAGACTTTCGCCTCTTGGGTTTTTTTACTGGACGTGGTGAGAATGGCGCGCGAATTCGCCGTCTTTCGGGAACGGGACCAACCGGCTCTGATGACCGATGAGCAACGGGAGCAGCGGGCACAGGCTGAGAAGCTCCAGGTTCTCTCTCCAGCCCCCAGTTTAGCAAGAGGAAGAGTTGGATATGCAACAACAATAAGCCTAGTTCCATCTACTTCCATCTAGCTTCATCTATTATCTCTAGGTACTTTCATCTACTATCTCTACTTTCATCTACTATCTCTACTTTCATCTACCATCTCTACTTTCATCTACCATCTCTACTTTCATCTACGGTGTCGATTTCCATCTACTGCCTGGGATCTCGGACGGCTTACGTTGATCACGGATTTTACACCACAGTCACCGGTTTTGGGGCGTCATTCTCGCCGCGTCCGGCGAACGCTTGCAAAGCATATTGCAACAGTCCCAGTTTGTTGATTGCTAAAGAGATACAAAGAAATATACCGCGGCCGGCTCGTACTCCTCCTTGTCCTCGTCCTTGCCCTTGCCCTTGGCCTCCCCATTCCTCCCGAACCAGATCCTGTGTCAATGACATTAGCTTTGCTTCCGGCAATAGGAAGTGCAGTGAATGTGAGGGATCAAGCGAGGGATCAAGCAAAGGATCAAGCAAAGGATCACGAGGAAAGCAAACGAAAGAAGAAGAAGAACACAAGAGACCAAAGGCACTAGGCTCGAATGCAGGATGCAAGCTATGTGACTGAAATCTGGATGTGATGAGGATGAAGAGAAGAAGAGCTAAGCAGAAGAGCGAGGGGCAGGAGGACTAGCTAGGTGTGCAGTGGGGTCACGTGACAGTGAACATACGTGGATTGTTGGGGGTGGTGGCATTGCTGCCGTTGGCCGAAACTGCGGCCACTATCTTCCGGAAGAGATGAACGATATCATTGTTCTATCTATATGTTAGTGACATGTCGAAGACTCTGACGGCAAATTGAAACCAGGAGACGAAGGCTGGTAGACGAGTGTCGATGGATGAGGGTGGATTGACGAGAGAGAAAACTTACGTCAGTCATGATTGCGGTTCTATTGCGGTGCGTTAGTTGAAGTACTCTTTGGGGGGTAATGGGTAAACTTACGAAGAAGAAAATTGTTAAAAACGTAAAATCTATGTGGCAGAATGTTAGTAAAATGGACACACAAACATGCAAGAATGGCTTGGCACAAAGAACTGAATAGAGAATAAGGCCGATGATAAGGAGGATGAAGATAGCAGAGAGAAAGGCAGAAGAAGAGTTTGGGAATGCCTGTTTGTTGATTCAGAAAAGGTAGGATTGTTGAACTTACTGTGTGTGCGCGCGCGAGAGAGAGAGAGAGAGAGAGAGAGAGAGAGAGTTTGTAAAACAACACTATATACACTATGGTTAGTAAAATGCCACGTGATGACGACAACGATGATGATGATGGTGATGATGATGATGGTGATGGTGATGATAATGGTTTGGCCTTGATGCTGATCAAGATCGTGAAGAGATGGGGGGACCTTACTGAGAATGATGATGTTGTTGAAGAGAAGATTCCCCCAAAAGGTGGACAGCCGGGGAGGGAGGGGATTCTTCAAGGCGTGCTCACCTGGCGATACCAGGGCATTTTACCGAGGCATGCTCCGGCGCGATCGAGACGTAACGCTGCCCCGAAAGCAACTGAAAGAAATCAAAATGGGCATCGTGGCCCCAGTAGAGTTGGTGATGCAGAAGCAACAGGATGCAGAAGAGGAAGAGCTCGGAGATGGTGGAGCTGCAGCCAGACCAAAAAGTTGCGTCCCAGAAGCAGCACAAAGAAACAACGAAAATACATGTGCCTAATAGGCATCAGCTGGCGTGTCAGAAATAAAAGCGCCAGTCCCGGCAATGGCAACAGGAGAAGCAGATGCACAGCGAGAGGAGAGGGGCGGAGATGTGGGAGGGAGAGAAGGGAGGGGGAAGTTTTGGCATTTTTTTCTCATGCATCTCCACTGCTCTGAGATTACGGCTACATACACCTACTACCGCTACATGTTTCTACTACCTACCTAGTACCGCTACTATAGATATTTTCTGCCACCGCTGGATATTTTTACTATCGCTAGATATCTTTACTGTCTCTCCCCCCGTCCAGTGGTCTCGGAGAAAGAAAGACGAAATACACCGCCAAATTTCTAGTCTTTCCTTGCTCCTTTCAGAGGCTCCCGACACTTCTTCTTCTTCTTTCTTCTTCTTCTTCCTCGTCTTCCTGCCCGACCCCCCCTCACATCTGGCTGCGGCCTCTCCTGGAGGAGCCGATTCTGCTGCTATGTCTACTGCTATGTCTGCTGCTATGTCTGCTGCTACTGGATCAGCTGGGCCTGCTGCTGGTGGATCTCCTGCTGCTGCCGCTGCATTGCTCGGAGGATGGCCCGAAACAGAACGTTCTTCTATCTCGAGGAGAGGGACGGGATCACGGTGGTCTAGTCTATTGTCGGGGTCCGCTTCGATACCGGTCTTCAACCACAAAGAACATTAAACCTGCCACTACCACCTCCGCATCCACCAATGCGGCTATAAGATGTGTCAGTAAGCCAAATCCATGTTGAAAAGAGTGTCGACATGTGAACGTACCACCATATCATCTTTCTCTCCTAGTTAATACGATGCCATCGAGTTCAAAGGCTCAGATGTATTGGTACATACCGCGTAAAAAAAGGGGTCCCACAAAGGCCACGACAATGACGAGATGTTTTTATTTCACCGTTAGGATAGACAAAGGCAAGACGACCAAAGGGGAAACCAACAAAAAAAACAGCACAATGGGCCGAGAAGATGGCAGAATTTTCCTTTAAGAGTTGGGATGTGTATCAGAATCTGTAAGATGTCAGAAGGAGCACATACATTAAGGGGGGAAATGCCCGGAGGCGCACCTGATTGTCGAATGTGGTATCTATCTCAAAGTCAGAGAGCCAACACATGTACAGAGTAACGCAGGGAATACTAACAAAGCTGACGACAAAGGATCGTCAGAAATAAATAACTGTAACGAAAACGATTGGCAAAAAGACTCTCACAGGAAAATGGTGGGCAAACCTGAGTCGAATATGATGGTGTTGAAGGAGGAACAGACTGGCAGGCCCTTGTCTCCTTTCCTTCACCACCGCCTTCCGATCTCACAACATCAACGTTGATGCCGTCCATCAGCTTGGAGCAGCATCTTGTCGGATTTGATGCCGGTGTTGTTGCTGCTAGGTGGTCCGTGGCCGAAATGGAAATGCATCAATGTTGCTAAGCGTCAGTCAACCCAGGTGACAATGACAGTCACAGCCGTTTGTCGTTCCTGGAGATGCGGAAGCGGGTTGAAGTTTATCCTTGGACATTGTTTGAGAGGTGCCTTGGTACATCCTTGGCTCAACAGGCACCTTGCCGTCGTTTATTCACAGCGAGAGCCATCCAATGCTACTTCGACTTTGCATTGCACCAAACAGCCTTCAATCTCATGCACAAATCGGAGTCTGTCTGTGCCGTTTGCCTGTCGTGTCGCTGCATCTTGCCGGCTTCCCGAACATGATTTGGCTGTCCCTGAGCAACCACCTGATGGCGCTGAAACCGTGGGCATGAGAGCAAGAAGGGAACGAGGACAAGGCCAGGTGGCCCGGTTGATGGAGCACGCGAGAAGCACCGGCAAAATAGAGTGTCCGGATCCATGCGCAGTCCATCGGGATTGTCGACACCATAAAGAGGTAGAATGTCTGCTGCAATGGAAATCGCAATGTCAACGATCAGAATCACCGTCGTTCAATCACTCAGGTCTCTGCCGGACGTTGAAACCGGATGAAGCGCCCAATCCAGGTGAGATATTTTGGCAGCGAATCCAATCGACGATCTGATCTTGTGTGCAGTTTCGCTGATGATCCTGACTAGGACCCTCGCATCGATCGCAATGCACAAAATCCGAAGCACCAACAGCCACGCCCTCCAGATATCGTGCCACGACACAAGATATGGCCGCCTTCGCATTGTTCCGCTAGCGTCGTAGCCGAGACGGGAGGATCGCACATGTCTCGGCTGCTTAATTGTGCGCGCATATGATGGCGAATAGTGCCAGCACTTACGAGAAACCTTGATCTAGTGGCGCCGTCAACGGCCGGTTGACGGAAGCCCGACAAACCCAACGCAAGGGAGACGTCATCTCGCCCGTTTCATCATCACCGCTGCGTGAAGCATCAAAGACGACGAAAAGAGATACTCAGCCATGGCGTACAATGAGCTGTACCAGTATTCCGTCGTGTCATCGCTCATGGAAGGCGTCGGGGAAACGGGGATCCCGTATAGCCAGCTCGTCACGCACGGCGACCATGGGCTGGGCACATTTCGCCGGATGACCGGGGAGATGATCTGCCTGGACAACCAAGTCTACCAGATGAAGTCGGACGGCTCCATTGTGACGATTGACACTTCGACCGGTGACGATGTAGCTCCTTTCGCCATGGTTACGCGCTTTCAACCCTCCGTCACCACAAGCATTGCGTTCGATAGCAAACACGGCCTCTCCGACATCATGACCAAGCTGTTCCCAAAGACCAAGAATCGCTATTTGTCGTTTCGACTGGACGGCCTTTTCGAGTCAGTCGCCGTACGAACCGCAGATGGGCAGAAATACAAGCACGAGAAGCTCACAGAGCTGCACCAGCGCCAAACGACCTACGAGTTCACCAATGTCCGAGGAAGTCTCATTGGATTTCGATCGCCAGAGTTTTTACAAGGAGTCAGCGTGGCGGGCGATCATCTACATTTCATTTCCGACGAGAGAGACCGTGGTGGTCATGTGTTGGATTGTAAGTCTGCGGGCGAAGCCCAGTTTTCTGGGTCGATAATGAGCACGGTGCATATGCAGCTCCCAGACGATGATGAATATAATGAAGCAAATCTCGAGCTTGATGATGATGGGATACGCAAAGTGGAGGGCTGAGCGCGCTATGGCTGATACTATTACTATTCAATTGTCAAGTGCTGACCACGATAGTTTATTGCATGTGTAATCCATTTATCATCAAGCACAATTAGATGTGTCATTTGCTGCCCATTGCTATCTTAACCTTGAATTTGTCTTGGACCATGTTGAGACAACTTTTCGGCCCATCACTAGCAGCTCGAGCCTTTTGGGCTGGGCTCCTGGCTTTGAAGACAGATGCCGTGGGCTTGAGAAGCACGCCGTTGTGTTCACCACCTGACACTTGACCTCATATCAGATCCTTTGACTACTGGAGCATACTTGTAGCTTCCAACGCTGCTCCCTCGGTCCAGGCCCCGGCCCCAGCCCCTGCGCTGGTCGGGCCTGTCAAGAGAAAGAGGTCGGATGACGAGTAGTACCTATTGTCAGTAAATGGGAAATAAAGATGCGTCTGATTAGATTTGGGGAAAAGAGCGAAGAGAAAGTAGAAAAGAGAATGACGGAAGAAAGACAAACGATGGAATACCTGCAGAGGTCTGTTTTGATGCATTCAGGTTACGATTTCGCAAAGGTGCTACGTAGCTTTGCTCAATGATTATATAGCTGCGACCAGTGCTTCAATGACCTTATGTGCATGCGTGGTATTTCTTCTGATCGTAAACTGGTAAATTGGAATGGTAACAACAACATTTTTCTGGACAGCCGTATGACTTTGCTGCGGGCAATTCGAGACCCGTATTCAATTACTACCCTCCTCTCCTATCGCGGAAATTCATGGCCAGATGCTCGTCGAGGACGGCTTGTTGAACCTCGTATTCTGAGAAAATTGCCTTTTTGCTGCTACACGGTTGCGGCTTGTGCATTATTGACTTTATTCTGGGTCGGCGTTGCATTTGGCTCTACGGTTCTGGTTGCTGGTTGCAAGTTGACATTGATGTCAGAACGGTACTACCCATAGGAGATGTCGCACCCGTGACTGAGGTTGACATTATGCCGCCGATCGCTAGATGGGAATGGATTGCTTGGTCTCTTGGTAGAAAGGAGCTGTCTGGTGGCATCAAGTGCTTTCCCATACACCATATATCTCGGACTGCCACGTCCACTTCATCCAGAGTTTTGTCATCCTCCACTGAATACGCCTTTGAGCCGGGGCCAATGCGGCACGCATGTCCCAATGCTTGATGTCACCATATGGTCGGTGTCACCGCCGGCCACCGTCTCATAGATTCCCAATGCTGTCGGTGCTCTTGGTTCAAACATATAAACCGCGAGGCGTACGGCCACCTCTTTGATGGAGTGCGCTGGTATGGCCATCTTCATCACTGCTCTGACCAAGTACTTGTCCCGGCGTCATGTCTTCCACGCGAAAGTACGTAGTGCTCTTGGTGTACTCAGGGAATAATACACTCGAAGGTTCGATCTCGTGGGTATGGGACCAGTAACGATGTCGATCCTGTTGGATCGTTCTAAACATGAGTAATGGAAGTCATTAGGAAGCAGAGAGGATACCTCACATACGGATGCTTGCCGAACTTAGCTTCCGGAGTCTTATCAAGAAGCGGGTTGACTCTTTGGTGGAGTGAAGCAGGTGAGTCAATGCGCGTCAACGTGGTCATCGGCGACTTGGGTGTATGATTTTTACTGTCGGTTATTAGTTGGGGTTGGTTTTTCGATGCTTCTTGGAATTGATGTCTATTCCCTGTTGGAATCCCTGATGCTGGGTAGGATCATAATCATTACCCTCGTGAGTAACGATTGGGGACCTGGAATAGCTTAGTCTGAAGACCTGACGACGATCTGCACAAACGGAATTGTATTCTTAGTAGTGGTATGATGGTGAAGATTGGCTGTGCGCTGTCTCTCAAGCACCGACGTGTTGACTGAAGCGCAATAGATTGCCTTGGCAACTATCTCAGTTTGTATCAAAAAGAGCAATGCCGGCAAACGTTTGTGCATATCTTGATGAGTATTTCGTTGGCATTGCCTCGCTGCTATGGCGATGAACGACTGCTAGGCACGCAGAAGCTTTTGGTTCGACATGCGAGCGCTGAACGGTGAATTCGAAAGTATGAGACTGTTCAAAAGGGTTGAAATGCGGTGGGTGGTTGATGTAGACGGTTGGCATTCATTCGTGTGGTTTTGGGCAAACGAAGCCCATTGTTGAGTTCGCGGCGCAGCTGCATCAGCGTGCCTTAACGCAAGGGTCCGTGAAGGAAGAGGCATGTCGCATCGGTGCAGAGAAGATTGCTGAATTACGGTGCAAAAGATGACTGAAGCAAAAGCAGAAACGCCCATTGTAAACTCTTTGAATAGCTTTGAGGCCCTTTTCGCCAATAAAGCTCTGGAGAAACCGTGGCGCTGCATTCGGCGTGCAGCTGGGCATGTAAGGTCCAGAGGCGACGGGCCGACGGTGGCAGCAGAGAAAGGATCCAGCGAATCACAATGCGTAAAACATATGTTGATAGAAGCAAATCGAAAGAGACAAACGGCTTCTGATTCTACTTGCTGTTCAAACAAATCTCGTGGCGCAGAATTCCGTTCAATTGTCGCGACAAGGGCAGCACTGCTTGCTCATCTTGCGCCTGTTTTTCTCAAGCAGTAACCAACTTACTCCCCAGCCTTCCAGGATACCTTGAGCCTGTGACGGCCTTACCAATTGCACAAATCTTTCCAGTTGGTCTTGCACAATTTCACTGTGGTTGTATTGTGGTAGACCACAAGAGTAGAGTTCCCAAACCTACATGGTCTGGCGCTTCTGAGCGCGATATCTAGGATAAATGCAACATCATTGACTTTTCCCCATGCAGCCTGAACACTAATTATATGCATATCTTCTAGATTGTAACAATTGGTTTAGCTAGTCCCAGATCTACTCTGTTCTGATCAGTAACTGCACTGTCAATCACAAAGTGCTAAGATTTGTCCTTCAAGGTGGCTCCGGCTTGAACGCCGAGTCGTTGCCCACTGGCTCATGAAAAAGTGAGATAAAAGTGACAGTTAATTACATATGCACTCATTGCTCTTGGAGCGTAATGAAAAGTAAGAAGTTCTGCTCGCCCCTAATTGGAATTCCCTTCTTTCTTCTTCAACACCATCTACATCAAAGCAAGTTCACCCATTAGTTTCCACCAAGCGCTCATTGCTAATAATTGGCAATATAGTTCTTTTACCGATATCATTCTGTCTGCCTGCGGGCGCATTTGTATGCTTTTGCTCTGATCCTTTTCCTGTATGATTCGCTAACCATGACAAAGACATTTCTTTAACAAACGTGGTTTGGCTCCGGCCCCCCTTTTTCTGTACGATTTCTCTTTGGTATCTCGTTTTTTAAGGCTCGCTGACTGTGACGTAGAAATTCTTTAGCGAACGCTGTGGGCCTTGTGCCAATTTCTCTGTCAGTATATTCAGACCACATTTCTGCAAGACGGCGACGGCACACAGCTAACTAGTAGTCGAATAGATGCCGACAAATCGAAGAACCAACGGGGTGCGAGCCGAGGCCATGCCTGGTGGAGAGCAGCGTGGCGGCGGTGGCGGCCGCGGTGGCGGTAGAGGAGGGCGTAGCGGTATGTCTAATATCTGCTCCTATTTATAATGATACCTAAATACTAACGGCATAAGTAAGCTAATTAAGTAGTTATAGAGGAAAGGGAGGAGGAGGGAGGAGGAAAAGTATATTCCTACTTATTAATTCCCTTATAATTAACCTTAGGCTAATATAAGTAATATAAGGCAGTATAATACTAATAGTATAATATTTATTTATTTAAAATTCTTTAATTTTATTATTAATAATATTATAATAAAAAAAATTATAATTTTTAAGAAAAAGGGTTTAAAAAGAATTTTTTTTAAAAAGTAAAAGTAAATTTTAACTAAGTTTAGCCCTTTAGCTTATATTTTTTATTTTATAGCCCCTGAAAATAAATCACAGTAGTAGAAGCAGTAGGCAAAGACTTTAGGTAACGCCATAGCCCAAGCTTTAGTTAAGGCCGAGGCTAAGGCTAAGGCACAGGAACAGGTGCAGGTATAGGTACAGGTACAGGCACAGGAACAAGAACAGGAACAGGAACAGGCACAGGCACAGGCTTAAGAGTAGCCTTACTAGCAGAGGGCTGAGGAAGGAGAAGAAAGGGAGGATATTAGTGAGCAGGATGTATTTATAAAGCAGGAAGAGGAGCCGTTCGGTTGGTGGCTCTAGATGAATCTAGAGTGGCCAAATATATACCGGTTTGCTAAGTATATATAATTACCAGTTGGCCTTAGATCTGAAGTTGGGTTTACTTTTGTCTCACTGCAACCCCCCTTGTATCTTTGCATCCCTACCTTTTTACCTTTCAGAGTGTTGCTATTGAAAAGCTTCATATCGTCGCCTTGGACAATCTTAAGCTTGCTGATAACGTTCCTCACAACAGTAATAACGTCAGAAAGTCTCCAGATGGAATGCTTCGGTCGTTTGCCTTTACGTTGAACACGCGCTTTGCTGTCTCAATAATACCTACGACTAATATTAAGGGGGAGCTGCATCTACTCCTCACCCATCTTTGAGCGATTGATCTGCCGCACTCCACGGCGATCAGCAAGAAGTACATCCCACTCTTGGTCAATAAGAGCCATGGAAGCCTTATCGCCTGTCAATTCCTTACCCTACTCGTAGTCCTTTCGGAACCACTAAGCGGGGTTGGCCCGATCAAGTCGATACTTCTTCTCGAACGCCTCTTCAGACATCTTCAAAATGCCAAGCTTCTGCTTCTCAATGCACATGGCATCGAGACTATCTTCACCATTCAGGAACTGAGTATCGCGATGTCTTGCGATATCCTATGATGTTAAGCTTCCCGCTCTGCATACCAGGTCACGTTATAACCAAGTTGGCCTCTCCTGGGTAAGGAGGATAAACTGCCTAAGAACTAAGATTGGAACAATTACTATCGAACTTTTGTCTAGCAGCTATATGGCTAGCCCAGCTGATCCACGTCTTCTCTTTTGTGGTTAGTTTAGGTTGCCCTCTTTTGCCTTGATGCCCGATCTTTCCGCATCTATCTTCTAACGTTTGAAGCCAAGAATTGTCGAATAGGGGGATCGTCCAGATGGGAGAGATCAGTCGACTGTCGAGCTACCTAGTAGAGTAGGCATGGTGGTTGCAGGCTGGCACCTACGTTGTCGCGTTAGTAGTTGAGTCAAGTTTTTTTTTTCGGGCGCGATCAAACTTACGCAGAAGTGCGGTTTCCGTGAACCCTGGAGGATGTGGTGATGTTGATGAGCTTGGCTTATGTTGGTAAATGTGCCCCGGTTTACAGATCCATTGCGATTCGGGCGATAACAATATGCGTGTCTTTTCCCATCATCCACTTCAAGCAAGACGACGAGACACCTCTACGGAAAACTGAAAGATACTGCTGGCTGTGGCACCGGTCTTCGATTCTTCGATATCCCGCCTAAGGTACCAAGACTGCCTTCCATCGTGCATCTCAAAACGTCAAAAGGTGGGACAGCTCGCCCAGCAGAGCCAGGTGCTACTAAGGTAGTTGGGTTCTCATCGTCACTAAACGTCGGCTTGGTGTACCCTTTCACCTCTCCTTATCTAGGTAGGTACTTTTGCTTTCTGACTCCTTCATTTTTATCAGAGGTAAAAAAGTATGTATCAAGCGTCACCAGCATGCAGAGAAATGTCTGGGAGCGGTAATCTACCAGCTCCAGGAGCTGCTGAGAAGTCTGTCGATCTGTCGGCGCCACGGGCGCGTGAAAGGGCCTAGCAAGGGTAGAATCCTGGCCGAGGAGGAGGAGGCCGAGGAGGTATGTCCCTCTTTCCATCCCTTCCCACTATTTTTTATTCTTCAAACAACTGACACTACCATAGAACAAGGCCGAGGCGATCGCGTGTTCCGAGGTGGTACTATAAGGACTTCTGGTTTTTGTTGGGAATGGCTGTGGTAGTGTGCTTTTGCGCAGCCAGAACGAAAGACTTTGGACCCAGGGCCTGGAGACCGTCGTTGGCAGCACCGCTGCGGCCATCACCATCGCCATCACCACCGCCACTGCCGCTGCTGCTGCCACTACTGCTGTTGCTGCCCCGGCTCCGGCTTCTGCTATTGCTATTGCTGCGGCTGCCGCGCCAGCCCCTGCGCTAGCTAGGCCTGTGGCCTAAGAAGGGGAGTAGCAGGAGAAAGAAGAAGGCCAAGAGGAGGAGGAGGAGGAGCCGGTGATGTCTGTGGCCAATGGCGACTTCGAGCCTCATGTAGACATCGGAATCGTGAGAATCCCTGGCTTTGCTGGGAGTGGCGCCAACGACGCACTTTCACCATGTCAGGTCAAAATATTGTTTAAGCTTGCCGTCAGGTGAAGGCAAAAATTCTGGACGACTATATTGCAGGCCAGAGCAGCGAAAGTGCTCCTCCGAAATTCTACCCTCATGATGCATTTTCCTTTTTCAGTCTTCTCACACCCCGTGGCAAGCTGCATCAGCCAGTCGGACATTTAATAAAGACAGCTTACAAGGCTTTGCAAGATGCTGGGAAAAGTAAAAGTACAGGTTTTAGCAAGATTTTGGAAGAATTTCAGGCTGGGCTGAGCAAAATCCCTATGAACGTAATTGCTCTCTCGAGGAGATATATCCTCCTTGATTACAATATGTTAATTCTCAAGCCCTTTGCTCTTGGTAAAAGGAATATGCATAATCTAGCGCAAAGATCAATAAGCTGTCGGCCACCACTCGACTACAATTATGACTTAACCACCCACTACGCCAGCCACTTCTAGCAATTGGCTATAACTGTTACAAGTTCTATTGTTGTTGTTTTTGTTGTATTAGTCTAATTTTAGTAACACAAAGATGTAAAATATATCTGTAGATAACTAAAGTACTACTTATAATACAAATAGTACTTGCTAATAATATTGAGCTATTAGGTAGTCTGTGATAATATACTTATCCCTACTATGGCTACTATGGCTACTATGGCTACTATGGCTACTATGGCTACTATGGCTACTATGGCTACTATGGCTACTATGGCTACTATGGCTACTATCCTTGCTATCCCTAGTGGCTGGCAACATGTGGTATTTGCCGTGTAGTTCAGAAAGGTAGGCAATGTCCCTTATCTTGGAACGACGTAGCAGACGGAATGTGGTATTTGCCGTGTAGTTCAGAAAGGTACGCAATGTCCCTTATCTTGGAACGACATAGCAGACAGAATGTGGTATTTGCCGTGTAGCTCAGAAAGGTACGCAATGTCCCTTATCTTCAAGATGATATCTCGGTAAACGCCCCATCGGCTCCAGATTGTTGCTTCTTGATCATGTGAGATCAAACATTTGCGGATGCATGCCCCGAGGCAGTTTGTATAATCTTCGGGTCATAGTCGCAGAAGCTAACATGCGCCTTGCACTAGTTGGCGACAATATTCGCGTTTGTCAGCCTCGCCCAAGTCCCGGGCGTCTATGGCATTGTCAGGGGCCCGAGGAAGGAAGAGGCATAATAAAGCCACGGAGCCGGCGAATACTACTAAAGTTGCTGCTTAGAGGCTAGTTATAGCTAGGATTTACTATATAAAGGAGCGTAAATCCCCTTAGTTTTAGAAAAAGTTAAAGATAAATATAATTATTATATACCTCCTAGCTACTTTATTCTTTTATAATAACTAAAACTTTTCTTTAATTTTATTATTTTCTTATATATTATTATTTTTAATAAGTTTATTTTTTTTTAAAAAGTAAAAGATTATTAAAGTAAAAATAATAAAAATTATTATTTAAAAATAAGTAAAAAATAAATTATATTTTAAAAATATATAATAAAGTTTTATATTTTATATAATACCTTTTAAAAAAAAATTTATTTTTTAAATTAATATTTTAATTTTTAATACTTAATATAATTTTTAATTTATTATTTTAAATTTCTTAGTTTTTTTTAAAAAATAATATACTTTTTTAATTAAAAATAAGTTATTTAGTTTTATAATTTTTATTATAAAAAAAAAAAAAAAAAAAGCTTATTTAATATTTAGTAAATTTTATTAATTTTTAAAATAAAAAATTTAAAATATTTTTTTTATAAAAAAGGCTTTTTTTTAAATTATTTATTATAACTTTTAAAAAAAAATTTATAAAAAAGTTAATAAATTATATAAAGAATTAAAAATTATATTTTTTAAAACTTATATTTAAAAAAAAAACTTAAAAAAAATACTAAAATTATATTTTTAAACTTAATATTTTATTTATATTTAAAAAAATTATTAATAAAATATATAAAGTTTTTATAATAAGTTTTTATTTTAAAAAAAAAACTTAATAATATTAAATTAATTATTTTAAAAAAAAATTTTAATAAAATTATAATAATATTACTTATATATAATACTTAAGGTAATATAAAAATTAAGTTAAAAATATTTAATTTTATATTATTAATAAAAAAAAATATTAAATATTATATATTAAAAAAAAAGTAAAATTATAAAAAAGTTTATTAAATAATTTAAAAAAGTTAATAATAAGATTTTATATTATATAAATAATAATTATAAAATTTTAATTTTTTTTTAAAAAGTATTTTTAAAAATAAAAAAATATATTTTTTATAAAAAAATTTTTATTATATAATAAAATTTTTATAAAAAATATTTTAAAGTAAAGTTAATTATTAATAACTTTAGTAAAGGGAATAAATAAAAAAAAAAAATATTATTTATTTTAAAAAAAATAAGCTTATTTTTTATACTTTATATAAAAAAAAAAGGTTTTAATTATATTAAAATAATCTTTAAGCTAAATAAAAAATAATATTTTAATTAATAATTTCTTAGTTACTTTTAAATAAAAAAAGTATAAACTTTTATTAAATATTATATATTATAAATATAAAACTCTTAAGTATTATTTTATAAATTATAAAAATCTAAATTACTTATATTATAAAAATAAAAAATATATTATAAAATATTATAATAACCCTTAAGTAAATATTTTAGCTAATTTAATATAAAGCTTAAACCTTAAATTAATTACTTTAAAAAAGGCTTAAAAAAGTAAGTTTTATTTATTTAAGTTATTATTTATTATATTTTTTATAATAAAAAAAAAATATAAATATAAATAAAAAAAATATAAAAATTAAAAATTATTATTTTTAATATTAAAAATAATATTAATATATTAAGTAAATATTTAATAAATAATACTTTAATAATACTTAATAATAATTTAATAATTATTTTAATATATAGAAACTTAAGTAAAATATATAAATATATTTTTTAATTTTTAAAAATAAAAAATAATTAAAAAGTTAAAAAATAAATATTTATAAATTTTATAATAATAAAAATACTTAATAATATTATTTTAAGAAAATTATAATATAATTAAATAAATTTTATTATTATTACTAAAAATAATCTTTTTTAATATTTAATATTAATAAAAACCTTAATAATAATTATTTTTAAATAGTAAATATATACTTAAGTAAAAAAAGCTTAAGTTAGGTTAATTATTATATATTTTAATATTAATATTATTATAAATTAAAATACTTTTATAATTTTACTTTAAAAAAAAATTATAAAGTTTTTATTTATAAAATATATAAATAAAATAAAAGTATTTAACTTAAAATTAATAATAAAGTTAATATTTTTATAAAAATTAATATATATAATAAACTTAAAGTTAAAAATAAAATTTTTTTAAAGATTTATTTATTCCTTAGTAAAAAAAAAGTTAAAAATGTTATAAAAATATATTAAATAAGCGTTATAATAAAGCTAAATATATTAATTTATAAATTCCTAGGGTATATTAATATTATTTATTTTAAAAAAAAAAAGTAAATTATACTTTTATATAAATTATTATATATTAAATAAGGTAATATATAAAAATTATATACTATTACCCTTAATTTATAAAATCCTTAATTAACTTTAAAGTATAAAAATCTACTTTAAGTTAAATATAAAAAATATATATTATTATATAAAAGTTTATAAAAAAAATAAAAAAAAAATAGTTTTTAAATATAAATATAAATTATATAAATTCTAAGTAATACTTTTTAAATTAACTAATACTTTTATTACTTTTTAAAGATATATTAATAAAATACTTAAGGGCTTAATAAATTATATTTATATAGTTTATTTAAATAATATCCTAATTTATAATAAAAACTTTATTAAGTATATATAATATATTTAAAAAGTATTAAATAAGTTAAAGTAATATAGAATATTTATTAACTTTAAGAAATATAAATTTAATATAATAAAAGTTTTTTATTTTAGGTTTATAATAACTTTTAAAAAAATTAAAATAAAATAAAAGTATATAAAAGTAATTATTAATTAACCTATTTTATATATTATTATTAATATTTTTATTTTTATTAATTTTATTAATTTTTATTAAAGGTTTATAAAAAATTATAATAAAATTATAATACCCTTAATTAACTTAATAAAAAAAAGGGCTAAAAGGAATATTATATTAAAAAAATAAAAATTAATAATATTTAAGAAATTTATTAATATTTTTTAATAAAAACCTATATTTTACTACTATAACCTTAATATATTAATTTATATTAAAATAAATATTTTAAAATATATAATTAATATTATATTATCTTAGTTTATAAATAAAGCCTAATATTTTATTACTTATTTTTTATAAAAGCTTAGTAAAATAAAAATATATTATTAAACCTTTAATATTAAAATATTTACTATTATAAAAGTATATAAAATTTAAAAATATTATTTTATATATACTTAAAATAAAGTAAAAGTTATTATTAATTATTTAAATTATAATTTTTTTACTAAAAAAAAAAAACTTTTAAATAAGTAAATATTATAATTATAAAAACTAGCCTTATATAATTTTAAAATTATATATAAATTAAGTAAGGCTAATTTTATTAATAAGCTATTTTATTAAGTAAACTTATATTAATTATAAAATAAAAAGTAATTATTTTTTAAATATTTTATACTTTTTATAAATAAATTTTATATTAAATTATACTTAAAAAATAAAAAAATATAAAAAAAAAAACCCTATTTTAAATTAATAATATAAAATAACTACTTAAACTTAAGGTTATATTTTAACTTAACCCCTTAAGCTAGGAAAGACTTA